CAGCAACAAAGCACGACATCAACGACGCGCGACAGCAACACCCCGCCACAGCAGCGGGTTCAACAACGCGCGACTATAACAACGACAACCGCCAAAGCAGCGGTCACCACAGGAGCGACAACAACGCCGCTATAGCAGCGGCTAGTGCAACGATGACAACAACGCCCGAAACCAACAACGCGCTAAAGTAACAGCCACGACAACGACGCGCGATAGCAAAACAACGCGCGACAACAACAACGCGCGACTGCAGCAATGACGCCGCCATAGAAGCGGGTGCAACACGTGCTACAGCAACAACAAAGCGCGACAGTCTACAACAACGCGCACAACCACCAGCTCTAACAACTACCAGCTATAACAACCACCAACAACGACACTAGAAGCGACTACAACAACAGCAGTGCCACACACAAGCCTGCTCCAACGGCGGGTGAGTCCCAACTAAGGGAAGTTGGTATATGTAGCTTATTATAAGGAGCTTGTTCATTCAAGAAAAACAAAATAAAAAAAGAAGAAATATGTAGTAGAATTAAATTGTGCTAAGAAAGCAAATTAGATACACTAAAAAAAAAACTTGGAGTAAACCAAAATGTAAACGAAACAAAACCTGAAAAAAAATTTAGTAGTAGTAAACAACTAAAATTTCTAAGTGAAGGCTAACTAAGGACTAATAGCGTATCAAAAGGCATATATATATATTTACTCAGAATAAGGATACTGAAGATTTAAAATAAGATCAGTGTAAATAAACGTAAGAAAACGCGGGGATTTAACAGAATAGAGAGTAAACGTAACAAGTTAGGATTGATTGACTTAGATTAAATGGAATAAAATAAAATTAATTAAAATAAAATAAAATAAAATTCAATAACGTTCAATTAAATCAAATAAATTTTATCAAATTAAGTCAAGCTTAATAAAATAAACTATATTTTTAAATAAACAAATAAATATAACCGCGGAGTAAAATGAATCGCATTTAAAATATACTAATATAAATTATAATCAAATGGAGTTGAATGAAACGAAATCAAATGAAATTACATTAAGTAATAAATAAAAGTAAAACTTAATTAAATAAAAAAAACTAAATTAAATTAAATCAACTTAACTTTACTTAAATAAATAAAATAAATTCAAAACCATAAAAAAACCAACCCTGGACTGAATACCTACGCTAACAAAACCTAAAAGAAAAACATAAATCATATAATAAAGAAATGGCCACAACATAATAAAACAAAATTAAAGTAAATAAATCGTTAGATAATATTAGGATAATATAGAAAGAAAACGAATTCGCTAGCTACAAAAAAATTTACATATATATAGAAAAAATAATAATAATATTTTAATAATAAATTATCAGCCCGATTCTGAATAGGAACTCCCCGGGAATTTTCTATCTTTTTCCTTTCCTCCTATCATAATTAAAAATTCCCAGAGAATTTTTTTTTCCCCCTTTCCTCCTATTCTAAACGAACTTCGAAAAAGGGAAAATGTATTTCGGGGAAAAAGTAGCTAACACGAATGCAAATCAAAGGGAGAATGTGATGACAGTTTTAAATAAAGTTTCCGCCGGAAAAGTGTGAGGGAGCCGTACACAAAAATGTAAGTATTTGCGAACTTTTTAATAGAAAACAATGTTAAACATTTTTTTAGGTCAAAAACTACAAACAAGACCCAATTTGTGATATTTATAAACCCTATGCAAGGTAATCCTGGCATTGCGCAGCAAGGAGGACTTAAACAGATTTTGGAGCAGAGCTGAAGCTGAACTGAATTCGGCTGGCCCACCATCTAAAAATGTTGCAGAGTGGATAAAAGAACTACTTATGCTGACTATACTTTGTTCAAATAAATTTATTAATGTCCAATATCTCAGGTTTGTTCAGATCAGAAAAAATACGTCCGGCAGAAAGCAGCCAACAATAGCAGGCAAAGAAAAGGCCACCGAGAGTCCGATATTTGAATTGATTGGAATGAAAGAATCGTTGATAGGTGTGGCGAAGCCCTTTGGATTGGACGTGGTTGAGACAGACGAAACAGAAGAACCACTACCACAACGAGAAGAAACACTACCTGAACGAGAAGAAAAACTACCGCAACGACAGGAAACAATAACTACACGAAATGAAGCATTTGAAGAAATAGAGGAGGAAATTGAAATATGTGGTATTGGCGAAAACGAGCATAGTTCAGTGAAATTTTTTAAGCCTACACCTGTGCGAAAGGAGGTGCCAAAGCAACAAAGCCATGCTTCTGGTGTGTTAGCCGAAGAGCTTAATATTCAGCGCGAAATGTGTAATATATTAAAAAACGGTATGATTGAGCAAGAGCGAAGCGTGAAGAAGTTATATCGGACGCTTGACAGCCTGTATGTTGTCCAAAAACAACATTTTAAAACGATGGAAAAAATAAAATCTTCTGAGTTTAACGCCTTAATGTAACTATGGAAAGGCTTAGACTCAGGGAAATCGAGGACTAGAGGGAAATCTATTGCTGCGGGAGATAGAGGAATTAAAGGAACAACCCAAATATGCAACTAAATAACAAAACTGTTAATCTTTTAATAGTTTTGATAGTCTTTTAACAGTTTTGATGCAATGAAATGTGATTTTATTATAGAAGGCTGATTTTTTTGTTACGAGAATGCGCATACCGTTACTTACAGAAGTATTCATTAATTTTCTATTAAAATATAGCTCATTCTATAGCAATAACTATCAATCTTGCACACTTTGTACAAAATTCGCAACAGTTCATCGAATTTCAAAAAATTATAAACTTTTCAAACTTTAGATCTTTTTTTTGAGTATGCAGTTTTGTAGCTCATTATATTTCAGTATAGTAATGTGTAGGCTTTAAGTGACTAGGACTTATCGTTAATTTTTGACAAAATAAATTTGGTTCGTGCGTTAAAATTGCCAAAAATGGACGATAAGTCCTGTTCACGTAATGACTACACATTACTATACTGAAATAGAATCATCTACAAAACTGCATACTCCAATAAAATTCTTAAAGTTCTGATTAAAAAGTTTCAAATTTACTTTTTTGAAATTCAACGAATTGTTCACAAAGTTTGCAAGATTGATTTCTTATGTAAATACTTATTCCCAAATTCATAAAAAATAAAGAAGACTTAAATTGCTTTATAAATCGAAAATTTATATGAAAATGTCTCTTAATAAAGCTCTTTAAACCTATTTGTTTATGAATAAGGACATTAGTATTTACGATTACTAAGAAAGTGATTTTTTTCGTTTTATTGGAAAATATATGTTTGTTAAAAATTAACAGAGGTTATTTTATAGAGAGCTTGCAATTTTGTTTCTAATGCTTTTTGCTACAATTAAGTAGGGGGCGTGACCAGTGATATGACTTCAGCGTTCTCATTATATTGGGTGAAAACTTCTGTTGTTTCTTCGATTATGGTTAAGGATGATTTAAAATATACACATATGTTGTGTAGCGCGCAACACACATTTACAATCTTCGCTGCTTTTTTTTGGAGTGTAATGTAACTCCCTTGCTCCAAGAATACACCTCCATCGGTTTTTCAATACTCCGTTAGCTCGTTCTATAATATTGCGGCATTGCGAGTGACCTTCGTTGAACTTCATTTCCGACGAATCATCTCCTGGTGATCTGTAGGTCGTCAAAGGCCATGGCTCCAATGGACAGCCGGCATCTCCTATACGAAGAAATTTGGGTAAAATAATTTGCGGTCTAATTTCACATTCACTACACTTACCTAGAATACAAAAATTTGCTGAATTCCGCAAATACTCGTATTCGAAGTGTATTCTTAATGCACTGATGTTCCACATAAAGGAGTCGTGAGAAGCACCAGGATGCGAGGCGTCTACATATTGAATTCGAAGCTCATGATCACACATCTATAGATAAGTTTAAATTAGTTAAATACGTTTTGCAAATTATAATCAAAGTAACCTACAAGTATAATCTCTTCAGCTTTACACATTTTGATCCACTTTAGACATAAATGAGTTTCGAAAACTTCCAGAACTTCTTCGAGAACTTTGCTGAAGGTTGATTGAGCCAGAGAGACGTCTACATCTTTCACGATTCCTGTTTGGTATCCACCTTCAGCGAAAAACACCAAATAGCTTTTTCCTTTGCTGCGTGTGCAACACCAAGACGTGGAGTAAATATTTGAAAGCAGCTTTATTTACCCTATAGTACTTCTCGATATCTACGCAAACGTCAAAGCTGTGAAGCTGTGCTTTTTTGTGCTCTGTTTAAATTTTGTGTGGTGCTTATGCTTAATAAAGTAAAAAATTAAAAAAAAAGTGTGAATAAACGTCTGGTGCACAATTTGAAGATAAGTAAAATATCAAATCTATAAAAATGAAAAAAATATGCAAACACTAATAAAAAAAGGTTGTTGAACTCACAAGGATTGCGGAAACTCGAGCGGATTTGTCTTATCACGCAAATGTCTCCTTACAGCTCTTTGTGGCAGAATATTATCCTCCAATTCAGCTGCTTCTGCCTCTGCAACTATTCGGAAAGCTATAGTGTGCATGGTTCTGGACTTTTTTCCTGTTTTTTCGCAAATCTTTAAACTTTTACTGAAAATAAAAAGCTTTTACGATAATTTCCGCCCGCGAGAACTGTCAAAAATGTATGAAACAGCTGTTTCGAAGTTCGAATTTCCTACTCCCGAAGGATGATTTTTTCCCGAGAAAAAATAAAATCCTCAAAAAGAGAACTCCACGGGAATATTTAGAATCCAGCTGTATTAAATATGTCCCTCACCGTATACTAGAGATTTGTCTTACACCCCTATTCTGCAACTCTTTCGTATTCGGATTTTGCTACGAATCGTAGAAATAGTATGCTGCAATCCGAATCGTATTTTCGAACTTTCGAAATTCGTAACAATGACATGCCTAAAATCGAACGAGTAAGCTTTTTTGCGTAATTTTGTACGAAAACAATTCTGTGTCGGAGGCGAAATAAAAGAAGCAAATCGATGTGTGTTTGCAAGAAATATTGGTGGTGTTAATTTAAACAGATAAATTTGCCTTTCGCATATACGTATATTTTTATCCACTGCTCTATATAAACGAGCAAAAAAGAATATTTGTTGCCCCTTATCGAGAAACTTCGGTCCGGTTTAGTTAATGTACAACGATTTTCGGTTGTTGTGTCCAAACGCATAACCTGAATCCAAAAACTTTAACATACACGTGTAATCAAAGGTTTCACATTTTATTTAAGACAAATATTTCAAATTTCCTACCACTAGCTTATTAATAAACTCGGTTTTCACTATGCACTTTTCTGCAAATTTCGACGTGGGTTCTGCGCAAAAATACTGTGGACGGCGTAGCCGGAGGATATGCACAAGAAATGTTGTATACCTTTGACATGCGGAAGCCCCTCTTCCCCGCAACACAAAAAGGAGAATTCTACTTAGTAAGGGTTATAATCCCTAAGCGCGGCCGAAGGTAGCTGTTATTGCATTAACTGGATTGAGAACCAGAGCTTCAGGCATAGGAGGAGTTCTGGCTTGTGGTTCAACATTTCAACCAGAAGCTGACATAGATGTGCCCACGGTTACTATGCCCGACAGCTCCGCATACCTTTGTGAATCCATTGCCATAGCGCCCGCTTACTCTGCTGCTATAATTGCAAATACATCAGAATCCATAATTTTCCTCAATAATATGTATAATGAACCAATTTTACAATAAACAAGCACATGATGAGTGTTTTTTTTAATTCCTTTCCACTTTGTTTTCCTTCATTCAGCTATCTTCGAAAAACAACTGGTAGCTGGCAATGCTGCACATGTTTCCGCAAGGGGTGCAGCATGTGGATTTTTCGTTTTTCGTAGCGTAGCTACGAATTACGTATAACGAAAATTCGGGTTCTAGAATAAGGGGGCTAATTTAACTTCTTGTTTTTTTTATTACTTACCTTAGTCAAAAAAAAATTCTCGTACCTGCAGTACTTAATATACACTTGTTTTTTTTTTTTTTTTAAATACCCGAAACTTGATTTAAATGAATTTCAATACTTACCTACCATTACTTTATACTTACCATTAACGTACATAGATCACACACACATTTACTAAGTTTAGATGATAGGGTTACGAACTTTTATCTGTAAGGATTAGGATTAATTTAGGCTAAGAAAATGAATAAATTGTACTGATATAATGGGAATACTGACTCTTTTAGTTATACAGGAAGGCACGCTAAAGACTTTTATAATGCGACTACTGATATTAGGATGCGCCAGTAGCCATGGTGAGAGTGGGCCAGCACCAGGTACCAAAATACCAGCGATGGTGCCTCATATTCGGCCGTAGGTTTTTTTTTCGTAGTTGGTTACATTTTTGAGTTCTTGATTTTCAGTTTAATTTAAATGTATTTAACGTTCTTTTTTTCCAGCTTTTTTGTTTGTTTTGCAACGGATTTCTTTGAATTTTTGAATTTTGAATTGTTGTGTGTCCGTTCGTTGGGATGTTTGACCATGCATGACTGTTTCTCTGCTATGGCGCAGAGAACAGTAGTGAGGCAAGAACCCCGCCCAGCCGACATGACTAGCCACAGTGCACCCCATTGTGTCATGCCGCCTGCACTAACTACTGCTCTCATAACATAATGACGTCCAACGGGGTAGCCTGAGGTCTGGTCAGGTTGACTGGTCCTGACTTTGTTGCCCCTTGATGCGTTGCGGCGGGATGACTGGAGTTGAGTGTGCTGGTTCGGATTGGTCCTCTTGGTCAGCAACCGAAGGCTTCTCCGAGACTTCGCGTCACGTCCTCCGGAGTTTTGTGGTTACACGGCGAGGTAGTGCTAAACGCACTTAGTTTTTTTGTAGTTTGACTTTGTTTTCTCCAACTTTGTTCAGTGGTCCGGTTTAGTTTAAATAGTTTTTTCTGTAGTTAATTTTTAATTTTTTGTTGCCGAATATTTTTTTGTTTTTTTTTTACCTGGTGTATTTTACTGAAAAAAAACAAGTGATAATCTTATAAATATTATAAATGTGAAAGTTTGTATGTTTGGATGTTTGGGAAATCATCAGGCGGAAACGACTACATGGATTTGCATGAAATTTTGTACGCAGATAGCTTATGGGCCAGATTGGTTAATAGGCTAATTGTTTAAGAGTTGCCACCTGTTAAAAAAGTTTCATTTATTTAATATGCGGGAACGACTGAATGGATTTGCATGAAAATTTGCACACAGATAGCTTATAACCTAGGTTGGAAAACAGGCTACTTTTCTTAAGAGTTGCCACCTGTTTAAAAAGTTTCATTAAATTAATACGCGGAAACGACTAAATGGATTTGCATGAAATTTTGCAAGCAGATAGCTTATGACCTACAGTGGAAAATAGGTTAATTTTTTGGAAGAGTTGCCACCTGTTAAAAAAGTTTAGTTACATTAATACGCGGAATAGACTAAACGGATTTGCATGAAATTTTGCACACAGATAGCTTATGACCTAGGTTAGAAAGTAGGCTACCCTTTTAAGAGTTGCCACCTGTTAGAAATGTTTAATTTAATTAATACGCGGAAATGAGTGAACTGATTTACATGGAAGTTTTTACACAGATAGCTTATGAGCTAGGTTGAAAAATAGGCTACTTTTTTAAGAGTTACCACCTGCTAAAAAAGTTTAATTAAATTAATACGCGGAGAAGCCTGAACGGATTTGCATGAAATTTTGCAAGCAGATATCTTATGACCTACAGTGGAAAATAGGCTAACTTTTTGGAAGAGTTTCCACCTGTTAAAAAAGTTTTAATTAAATTAATACGCGGAAACGACTGAACAGATTTGGTATAGTGATATGTATGTGAAATCAATGTTGGCATTAATCGATTGATGTTTTAATTAGTTAGTTAATTCGATTAAATTCAATCTGATTACAGTTAATCATGATTAATTTTAATCCGACTAAACAGTTAATGGTAACCGCGATTAAAAAATTATTTTTTAATCATTAACTCTTAATTTGATCAAGTAAGTTTGGTGATTAATTAAGTTATGCTGGAATTTCCCTGTGCACACAAAGCAAGTTAATCCGGTATGGCCAAGTCGGGTTTCCTCATCAATCTAAGCAATCTGGTGTGCATTTTCATTAAGAAATATACCAACAAACGTTTTGCAAACTAGGTTTGTAAAAGTTCCCAGTTTATGTATTACTAATAACAATAATTATTATTTTCTTATATTACGTGCTTTTTATAAGCGTAAAACACAAAATAATTACTATAACTGGTGTTTGGTTTCAAACTCGGACAAACTAGACAAATTAATCAGATTTTATTTTTAATTGGATTAACGATTAATGTTTTAAATTAATTAAACGTAATCGCAGCCAGCGATTAACTTTTAAAAAAATGTTATCATTAATCGTACAGTTGATTACGACTAATTAATTTTAATCAACAAATGCGATTAACATTTTAATCGTTAATTTTTAATCGTTAATCAGATTAACAGTTTGCCAACACTGTGTGAAATCATGTTCATATGCACGGAGAAAAATGGACGTTTTTGGAAAAGAGGCGTAGCACCTCCCATACTGAATGAAAGTTTCATATTGCATATCTCTTCAAATGTTTGGGGTAAAGCACTCAAGGTTGGTATGGAAATACATATGTATGCATGTATATATGTGAAACTAATACCATACTCATGGAGAAAAATGAGAGTTATTGGAAAAGGCGGTGTGGCAACAACCATGCAAATTGATTTTTCTATGCTGCATATCTCTGGAGGTGTTTATTGCAGAGGACTGGAACTTGGCACCGAGATGTGTATACAAAATTAATTCCATACTCAAAGAGAAGAATTTGCGTTATTCGAAAAGGGGACATGGTTCCTGCCGTACAAATCTTACTTACTCTTACTGTTTATCTCTAGAGGTGTTCATGGTAGAGTACTGGGACTTGGTACTGGGGTAAGTAAAATCAATTCTAAATTCATGGAAGAAGATTAGTTTTATAAGAAAAAGGGGCGTGGCACTTCCAGTACAAATTTACTTTTTCTTGCCACATATCCCTGGAAGTGTTTGTGGAAGACAGAATAAATTTCATT